AATCCGCAGTTAATGGGAGGAAGAATGTCGATGAAAATATAACGTCTCAATTTTATGTTTTGTTAAACTGTTAAGGATGTAGTAGAGATTTATTCTTTGAAAATATCAAATTTACTTTTTTTTCCATATTCTCTTATATATATACGAATATATGAAGCATGCATTTAACTAAAAACAACAATTGTAGAGATGGTTTAAGAGGGTAATACATTTTGAATAATTCTGAGATACATTGTGTTTTATATTTTTTGTGATTTTTCACGCTTAAGTAAACATCGATATTTGGGGGTAGTCTAGAGAGTTGATCTCGACTCCCAGCTGCTCCACGATGGCATAGGTATTCTCTGATAGCTGCTAATAAAATCTGGCAAAGATAGTTTGTCTACCACTTTGACTTTAGAAAATACGACACAACTCTCCCCTATGTGAACTCTGAAACAGGGTACCATATTTCAAAACAACGTTGACGATGTTTTTAAAAAGTGTTATGAGGTAAAAATCTAGTCAGGCAACAGTAGACGAACTGGGAAATTAAATTCAAACCTTCTATAGTATCTCTGAATTCTGCAAACATCATTTCTGTGGTCTTATTTTGGTTTCTTCAAAAATAACACCTCTCTATTTGCACAGTGATTACGTGATTACACGGTACCATTTTTTTGTTGGAATATTAATTTCATATTATTTGAATAATAAGCTTTTTAAAAATATATAGCTTGATGGGATTCAAAGAATATGTTACTTCAGAAATGTGCTATGGAATTGCAATAGCAATAACCTCTACTACATCCTTAAGTGCGAACCTAACTACATGTAATCACTCAAGTACATTTGTACGTATTATTGTAATCACAATGTGTATAATTACAAATAATTACAAATATATTATGGCAATTAATAAAAGTCAATTATGTTTAAAAGGTGGATATTGGAAATTGGATCTAGGTGATTTTTGCACCACCACGACGACGACTACAGCGTCTTGTCCTGGTAGCTAAACCGTTGTTGATATCTCGATTGCATGTTTGCATGTATTGCTGCGCGATGGCAGGACTTGATGTCAGCGATGGACCACGATCACGGCCACGTTGACCAGCAACACTGTCGTCTACGCTCGACGTGTTTCTGGCGACTCGACGTCGCAGGAACGGGAAGGGATGACGATCTCGTTGGTTCAACTAATCCTGAGGCTGGATCCACGGCTTCGCGGAGGCTTCCACTACGCGCACAACTTATTCCCTGTGTAACCTTTCCGCCATCGTGTTTCATCTTTGGTGCGCAAAGAACAGTGGGGCTAGGCCCCGGAATATGAATCCACATCACGCGCTACCTCGGACCCAAAACCTTTCGTCCATAGACACTGGAATTCTGGATTGAATCGATGTATAATGGCTAGTTCTTCTCTACAATATATGAGAGGAATCTCCTAACCCGAACGATATACCCAGGACGATGATCTTCACAAAGCACAATATCCAAAATAGTGCATGCCGGGAATGTGCCCCGTAACATGAGTGGAAAGAAATTTTAATAAAAATAATGGTGAGATAATTGAAAGATATTGAAATAATTGAAAGATATTGAAATAATGGTGAGATATTTGAAAGATTTTGAAATAAAGGTGAAATAATTGTGAAATAATTGAAAGATAATGAAATAATAGTGAGATAATTGAAAGATATTGAAATAATGGTAAAATAATTGAAAGATAATGAAATAATGATGACATAATGGTAAAATAATTGAAAGATATTGAAATAATGATAAAATAATGATGAAATAATTGAAAGATATTGAAATAATGGTGAAATAATTGAAAGATATTAAAATAATGATGAAATAATTGAAAGATATTGAAATAATGATAAAATAATGATGAAATAATTGAAAGATATTAAAATAATGGTGAAATAATTGAAAGATATTGAAATAATGATGAAATAATGGTGAAATAATTGAAAGATATTGAAATAATGATGACATAATGGTGAAATAATTGAAAGATATTGAAATAATGTTGAAATAATTGAAAGATATTGAAATATCAGTGAAATAATTGAAAGATATTGAAATAATGGTAAAATAATTGAAAGATAATGAAATAATGATATAATGGTAAAATAATTGAAATATATTGAAATAATGATAAAATAATGATGAAATAATTGAAAGATATTGAAATATCAGTGAAATAATTGAAAGATATTGAAATAATGGTAAAATAATTGAAAGATAATGAAATAATGATATCATAATGGTAAAATAATTGAAATATATTGAAATAATGGTGAAATAATGGTGAAATAATTGAAAGATATTGAAATAATTCTATTTTGGCGGTGATCTCACCCCATACAGACCCAATGAAAAACATGTTCAACGAATTCGTTAAACTGAAAAATCAGGCGACGAAGAACAAAACACTCAACCAATAATCCACTTGCTAGGGGTTTTAGATTACTTACGTACATAGTTTATAACACTGTTTATAATTTCGGTATACTTGAACGCGCGAACTCAGATTGCGTATTTAAATATATCGGAACAGCGCC